CTAGAAAAACGTTGCCCTTTACGGCGAAGTAAATTTCATTTAAATTAATTAAGCCTCATCGTGGTATAGCAACAGTAAAATTACCACTGGAAAAGCAGAAACATTTTACCATTAAATAAAATTTGTGTAGAATTAATTTATATTATTTTTATCCAGACAGTACACCGACGTACACTAATACAATTTTTTCTTTTCCTTGAGCTTGACACATTTTGATTTGACCTTCGCAGTCTTCTTTCGCTTGGGCCGCCTCACCTTCTTTGAAGCAGATATATTTATCTTGCTCATTTTAATCTTCTTTAATTTTTTCAGATCCAAGTTTTTCCAAAATTGTGCACCTTTCGAAGCTATTTCATTTATAGTTAACTTGTTGGGCGACTTTCGCAATTTCTGGATAAAATTAAAAAATTGGCCCCGGATTACCTTTCTCATCTTTATGTAGTCCTTTGGCTTTCTTTCTTTTTTTGCCACCGGATTTTTCTGCGCCATGCTGCGTTCCTTTGGGTTTTGGTAGATAGTTTCAGATCATTTTACACATAAATTTTTACTTTTGACAGTGTCTCCGTTTGTCATTTCCACAGCATGCTTCGCACTGGCCTCATATGGTTTGTTGTATATAGTGTGTACGAATATTATTATTAAAGTTCTTTTAGCGGTTTTTGGCGGTTATATCACCAATGCCACGCGAAATAGATAAGCAAATCGACTAACTGAATCACGCCACGTCCGAAGCTGAAGCCCCATAGGAAAATCGCACACTGGGCAAACCGATCTGAAACGCACGTACTCTTGCGCACATCAGCTGATAAAGAAGCATTGCTTTCATTCGCTTTTTCAAAATACTCCAATCATTTTGTCGAAAACTAGTTATTTTTTTTCCTGGCTGGTATGAGGAGTTTAAAGAAACTTTGTTAATCCGATTTTTGAACTGCCTAAAGTTAGTAGAACTGGGAAAAGCCTCCTCAGGTAGGTTGTTCCACTGTGTTGATACCCTAGAGATAAAGGAGCGGTCGTATCGACCAGTTCTAGATGTAGGAAGTTCGACGCGTCTAGGACGAGTGGCTTCTGAACACCATTGAGTATGGATAATATAGTTGTGGCGCCAGCTCCCCAAACATGTGAGGAGTGCTCGAGGTTATGTCTTAACTGTGCTTTGAGCAGAGTAGGAGGCCATGTGGAGAAAAGTACTTCTTCTACTTCTGGTACCGAAAACCATACTGCGTGTCGCTAGTCAAACCGTGATGTTCGAAGTACTCTAGAAACTTCCGATTTATGCACCTCTTCATCACGCATCGGTCTTGGATCCCTTTTCGGGATGGGCTGGACATGAGGAAATTTCATGTTTTCTGGGTAAATGCCCAGTGTTCTGGTTCTGCTATGTTTTGTATTACGAAGATCTGTAAAAGGTAAACTCAAAATGTACAACCATGTCACACTGACAATCAGGAGCATAGGCTGGGAATACTCATACCTTGTTGAGACGATTTTCTAGATCAAGCTAAAGAAAGCTTATACAAAGAAACGTACGTGCACAGAGGCAGATTACATATGTGCGTGTGAGGGTGACAAATGTATAAAAGTGATTCCGGTGGTTTTAGTGTGACCTACCAAAAAACGTGAAATGAACCATATACCTGCTTCAAGGACTGACCTATGTCTGAGCGATGATCGGCTGCAATGCAGTTCTGGATTGGATAGTGTAGAGGTTAGTAACGACAACCTTCACGAATGGTTGGTAATGTGTGAGGGTTAAGATGTAATTGTGTGTGCCCGTTTGACTGACTGGATTCATTTGTTTTTTTTTGTTATACTTGCTCATAGCTAACTTTTTTCTTAGACAAACTAACTTTTATTGAACGTCATCGTTTATGAACTGATGAGCGTTTTCTAGACGGAATTGGAGACTTTATCGAAGCTCGCTAGATGGCGGTCGATTCTTTTCGATTGCGGTCGAATCTTTTTGACGGGCGCCGTAATTTTGGTTGCCTGTGTCGATATACGAGGGCGTTTCACTGTAACCTCAAGATCTAGTTACCATGAAGTTACAGTATTATATATTACATAGAATTATGTAGTGTATGTGTTAAAGAGACACTTCATTGTCCTCTCAACCAGCTGGCCGGTGTAATGCATAGCTTCTTGCAACAAAGGATTTGCTTGCCATTGTTGGATCCAAAGTTGGATCACCCTACACCTATAACTACTCCTTAACCTCTTAACATAAACCTCTACGTATGCATCCTAGAATCTCCCAACCAAAACACCATGCTCATGTATATGCATGTCCTTTCCAAACCGGTGTAAACACCCTGTCATTGAATCCCATAATGGAGCAAGCGGGATTAGAAGATGCCGTATATCGGCATCCACAAGCCCAGATAATGATATCTACCTCTCGTATACCGAAATTGTGTTTATGTTTCGCTAATATACTTGCAAGCAGTCAGCCATCTTTTGCTTGACGCGAGAAGCTTTAGACCTTGGCTGTGTTCCTAACGGTGATCACCCGAGCTTTGTGCTGGAAGTAGGTTAACAACGACAAGTTGATTAGTGCAGTTTCTGCACTCATGCTGTTTTTGTAGATGTGCTGAGACGTGTAGCGATGATAGGCGAGAAGATTCCGGTGACACTTTTTTTTAGTTAAAAAGGAGGGATGGTTACGTCGCCCAATTTTAGCCATCCAGTCCAGAAGATCATTCTGTACCCCGTATATAGAAAATTTGATAATCTTTGGGAACGTTTGGTATACATGGTGTTTTAAATTCGACCCTCACCATTGAGATCTCGGAGACTATAAGAGATACGAATTTGCTTAAAGTGGGGGCAAAGTTACGTATTTATGTAATGAACAAAGTGCTACCCAGACAGTTTCAATTCAAAGTACTTCAGGAAAGAGACGGAGAAAACGAATTTTCCAAAAATCGTTTTGATTTTTCGTGATTTCATTTGTAGTGGAATTTCAAAGTAAATTGCACATCAACATTGTCACTCTATCTACTATATAAAATGGTGTGTTCACAATTTCAATATGAAGTTTCATCTCTTGCCCTCCAACATCAACTTCATTTTTTCTCTTAGAAGCCTACAAAATCAGAGACAACATTTTGAGCATCTCCTACCATTTGCTATGCAATTTATTTTGAAATCCAATTTAAATAAAGTCTGGAAAAATAAATGTGATTCGGGGATAAGTGTAAAATTCTGCTTTTTTTGAAATAACTACGGTTTGGCAATGTCAATGTATGACATATTATACATTTTTGGAATCAGAGATAAGAACTTTATTCATCTTTGTAAGAGTCCAATATGGCGTACATAAGAAAAAATTAAGTTGTTGCTGGAGGACAAGAGACGAAACGGCATATTGAGATTATAATTATGCCATATTGTAGAGGAGGAAAAGTGACAAAGTTAATGTGGGATCTATTTTCAAATCCCACTACAAATAAGGTCAGCGAAAAATTAAAATGGTTTTGGGAAGATTTGGTCTTTCTCGACTCTCTCCGAAAGGATTTCGAAACCTTCTAAGCGCTGTTTTGCTGATTACCTTATATGCAACTTTGGCTCATTTAAGCGACTTCGTATATCTGATAGTTTTCCAGATCCCAATGATGAGTGTCAAGTTTGAAATATCCTGTATAGATTTTGTATGCAAAATTTGTGGTAACTCAAAAACGGTTAGACTTAGGTCATTCTCTAGCATATTCTATCTGAAAATAGCTAACTTAATGCCATGGGCGCCCGCAGGATTTTTTTTCAGGGGGGCAAAATAAAACTTGTTGCATTTCAAATTTAGTTATTTTTATTAAAAGTTGAAAATCGTTATGATAACAAAAATAAAATATAACTAAACAGATGACTTCTTCCTAGAGAGGTTTTTATGGTTTTATGGTTCAAAAGAAAAAAATGTAAGTCCTTGAAAATAACATAACATTTTACTAATAATTATATTAATAACTAATAATACCAAATACATTTATTACTCTAAACTAAAAACCAGTCTTCGGTTGCTTTGGCAAAATAGATCTAATATTTTAATGGCAAAATTTTGAATAGTTTCTGTTCGTTTTCGATGGATACTCAGCAATGCTAATCCAACAAGTCTCTCTTGTCCCATTGTAGCTCTTAACCATGTTTTAATCCTACGTAAGGTGCTAAAACTGCGCTCTATAGTGCAAGTGGTACACGGCAAAGTAAGGAGAAGTATGCAGCAATCTTTAACAGCAGGAAAAAATTTACAATGTCCAATAAGTTCTTCAATGGCTATATTTTCTGCAATTTTAGATTGACATAAATACTCTTTCCAAATATTTAACTCGCTTTCTAAATTTTCAATGTTATACAGCTGTTTGATCTTAACTCCGAACGATTTACTGTCTAAAGACTTTATATTTTTTGGCAAAATATTAAATAAAGAAAAGGCAATTTCATGCTCTTTTGAAAATCTTGTTTTTAAGGCAAGAATTAAATGATCTACATATGGAATAAATATCGATTTTTTAAAATAGTCTTCAGCTGAATCAGATTCATAGTTGGATCTATAAATTTGTCGACCACAAATTCGTGGCTTAGCCACCTCTATTCCAAGAGTCTCACAACTGGACACTGCTTTGGAATAAAGTTCTGCAAAAACGGTATCAACTTCTAATCGATTTTTATTACAACTGTTAACTATTAAATTAATGTGGTGATAAACATCTACAAAATTTATTGAAACTCCTTGAAGGGTATTCGCAACCGGTTCTAAAATATTTGAATATTTACTACCTACCATTAGACAAATAACAAAAGAAAATGAATTTGTAGCAGCCCATAACTGAGCAGCTCTTTTTGTTGTAGAGGAATTCATTAAAATTTCTCCAGTTTTTATATCGTGAAGAGTTTTAAATATTGTATTAAAATTGTCTGCAAAAATGCGCAAAGACTTATACTTGGCTGACCAACGAGTCTCACAGAATAGAGGTATATTTGGAATTAGATTCCTTCTTAAACTACTTTCTCTAAAAAAAACTATTATGTCTTTTACGGTACCAATAGCTTATTTCCGTTATTTTACTTACATCATTAATAACTAAATTTAATTTGTGTGATGCACAATGAAAATAAAATGCCCTTTTATACTTTTCTTGTATAATTTTTTGAACTCCATGAATTTCACCAGACATTGTTGAGCATCCATCGTAACCCTGTCCTACAAGTTTGTCAAGATTTAAGCCCGATTTTTCTAAAAACTGCAAAATTGAAGATGCGATGCTATCAGCGTTTAGACGGTCCAACTTGACAAATCCAAGAAACTCTTCTTTCAGGGTAAACTTATCATTTTGTTCAAATACATATCGTATGCCAATAGATAGCTGCTCGTGTCCGGCAATGTCGGCAGTCTCATCAGCCAAGACACTAAAATATTTAGAAGAATTTGCTTCTTCTACTACGCTTCTTAACAGTACTTCTCCGGCTAATGAAATTATTTCATTTTGAATTCTGTGTGATGTATATTTAGAATTACCAGCAGCGGTAAACAGGTGGTTGCCCAAAGTTTGGTCACCAGCGTCTATCCTGAATTTTAAAAGGTCACTAAAATTGCCAGTATCCTTGCTGCTTTCCCTTAAAGGCATATCATGGGTTCCACAAAAAATTATCGTTTTAATAATTGGAAGAATTTTATTCCTATTTTCCAAAATATTTTTTTTCCTTCCCTCGTCAATTGAAGCCAATATGTCATTTTTTTTATTTGACAAAATATCAATAAAATTTTTACCGCGAATGGCTGAATCTTGATGCCAAGCTGAATTGACGTGGTTTTTGGCCTGGGTGTGAAAATCCCTATATTTTAAAAATGGCTTCGTAATAAATGCGCCTAAAGCACTACCGTGGTTAACAGTGGGTGGGAAAATGACACAATATTTACAAAAGCTGCCTTTAAGAAGTTTGGAATAAGCTAGCCAGTCATATTGATTAAGCCATTTATGAATAAATGGTCGTTTGTTTGATTCTACATCTTTCTTAAAGTCATAGGTAGGGGGTGGTCTATATGGACTTATTAATAAATCATATATTTGTTTATCCGGTATTGACGATGAGTTATTAAGGAAATTTCCAATGTCTTTCGAGTCCGATTGGTCATCATTTAACAACATTTGGGTATCTTGAACAGGTTTATCTGTTAAAATTGTTCTTATCCCGAATAATGTGTTTGACTCATCTGCTTTTGTAGTGTCTGGTCCTTGATCTTCTTGGTCCAAGCTACTACTTGTACTTGTACTCGGTATTACTTGATGTACTGGTTGAAGTCCCATTTTTTTAGACGGATTAGTGGTTTCTTCGGTGGTTGTAATTTTTCTTTTAAAAAAATTGCGAATGTCCATTTTTTTCTAAAAAAACATATTAATTAAAATATAAGAAAATAATGACAAATTTATGAATCATTTTACCTGATGTAAATTGCAACTTGTGTGTGTTTAATTTAATTAAAACCAATAAGAAAAAGCTACTTCCTATGAAATAACTTTCAGCAGAAACTCAAGCTTCAACTTAGGCATGTAAAAAATAAGATATCGGCGTATATAGTGGATACCAAACAAAATCCGATGCACGTCATAGGTGATGTCATTCATAAAAATCATGGTTGCCAACAGTTGACTACATTCAATGTGACATTTCTACTTGAAGTTTAAATTTCCCCGTCTCGATTCGGTTGGTAGTGCCGTGCAGAGAAATGTGAGGTTGCCACTTCTCATTTGTTGACATCAGTTGCCATTGTCCTTTTGTCGTAATATTAGTTCTTTATTGTTTAGTTTGTGAGTTTTGCGCTATTTGAGCTTTGAATCGTTGCCTTGTCAATTCAAAATTGTTCTTTTCAGAACAACAGTTACTGTGAAGTAGTGTAAAGTATCCAAAATGCCAATATCATGCTTATTAGAATACTTCGAACGGGAAAGGGATAATAATGGCCCACTTTTGCCTTTAACTGATGTAAGGGAGGTGAGTTTACGCTTGTTGATAGCATAAGTAATAGGAACATTAAGGTTAATCTTCTTTTTCTTATTTTTAGCGTGTAGCAGCAGCATTGAAATTAAATGTGTCTACTATAAGTGGTATTTCACAGGCAGTCAAAAATAAAGAAATTTTACAATCGCCTCCTAAAAAACGATGTACTCCAAAGAGAGTCACTAATATTTCAAGGCTCAATACAAGTGGTATTCGTAATACTATTTACAACATGTATGAAAACAGTAAGTTGCCCAACAAACATATTTTGAATTAGAGAATGTATAATTGTTATTTTGTAGAACAACATGTAACACTGTCTGGCTTGTGGGAGCAATTAAAAGCTAAGCAATTATTTGAGGGCAGTCGTAAGTCGTTAAGCAGACTATTAGAAGAAATAGGCTTCAAATGGGAGAAAGATAACCCCAAACGAGGGCTTATGGCACTTCCCAATATTGCATCTAAACGTGTTAGTTTTTTGAGATCATACGTACAAAATAAACAAGAGGCTATTTATCAGTTTGTCTTCTTAGATCAAACTCCGGAATTGATATACAACTGAACCATACCATGCGGTTAATATCAGGCTCGATAAAGAGTACTCCTTGCCGTTAGTTGCCGGTATTGTGTAACATCGCATCACCCGAGTTCTTTCTTCTCTTTGATGTGAATTGAAAAAGTGTTGTAGTTCCCATATCATAAATAAATAATCAAATTAATTAAAATACGAGAAAACAATTTATGTTCTTTAAATATTTTGTGTTTTTGAATATCTACCAAATCAGGTGTTTTTATTCAGAAAGGAATTTAATTTTACAACAAGTTTATTTATTTTTAATATAATGGTATTATAGTAAATGGTAGGTATATATAAACAATTTATTTTATTAAATTTATTTGCTTAAAAGAAAATGTGCAAATTCTGGCAACAGCGCACAGCTCCAGATCGATGACGTGCATCGGGTTTTATTTGGTATCCACTATATAAAGAGAAACTAACCTCAAATCGCGGTATACGCACATTAGCCGCTTGACGACAACTATAGCACAGCGCTGACTCACGGCCGCGGCGCGCGGCGGCGGCGTAGACGGACACTTGCACATGGAGCATAAAGGTGCGTATACATATGCGAGCCGAGCGGTTCGCGAGCCGCTTGTGAGAAACTTGTTCGGCTAATTGGGACGGGGTTTATGGTTCCAAACGAACTGCTTGTGAGCAGCTCGCGACGAGCCGCGGCCTGTCGGTTTTTTCGACGAACACAAAGGAATTCGCAGTGCATATTGGGACGTGTTTAGACAAGGTTCGTTGTTTTTCTTTAGCTCGCGAGCGAGTTTTATTTTTCTTCAATAAAGTTATGGATTCATGGTCGGAAGAAAAAATATTATGTCTGATAAACGTGTATACCGAAGTATTACGGCTAACCTAGAATATTAATTTAAAAAAAATTTTAAAAAACAAAGCTACCTGTCCACGGTACACCGACTTACCTATCTTGGGCAGAGATTGGAGTACGAAAATAAGTCTCCTGTTTTGAAATATGGGGTCCAATCCTTTGCAACAGATTCTCAAAGTCAGTAGGTGTCATTCGAGTGAAATTTTTATACTGTCCGCTTATTTCTTGCGACTTTAGGTCCATTAAAATTCCCGTTGTTGTTTTCTCTTTTTTTTATTTACATCAGCCATTACTAAAACTGCAGCACCCAGCAAAATAGTATAATTTTCGTTTCGCGAAGCCATACTACATTTGTCGACTGCGATGTTTGTTTGCGTTTGGTGCGCTGAATCTGTGGATCGCTGGAGGTTCGCTGAAAAAATCATTTCAACGAACCACCATCGAGCGGCTCACAAGCGGCTCGCGAACCGCTCGGCTCGCATATGTATACGCACCTTAACGTGACTTCCTATTGCACAAGCGCCAGGGTTAGGCATCATTCACACTAGCGCGAATTTCGCGGATTTTTGTCAAAATGCGTCAAATCCAGATTTAAAAAAATCCAGAACAAAAAAAGGCGAAATTAGCCCTAGTCTGTTAGCGTCTGTTTATGAATACAATACACGTTGCTCTGCTACAGGTTTATTTCTAATATTTTTATCCTAAAATTGTTTTTTATGTAGATAGTAAATATAAAAAAACCATACCAAATAATCAGAATCTCAGGGGGGGCCGCGGCCCCCCCTGGCCCCGCCCTGGGGGCGCCCATGCTTAATGCTATATATTCCCGCGTTCTGAATGGATTAACCTAGATAAAATAAGAATTTGCCACAGCTGTTTCTCTATTTACTATATAGGAGGTTAGTGTTTAATAGATGGCGCCATGTACAGCTGTCTATGTAAAATATACATCGCTTCCAATCAAATTGTGTTAGCGTTGTCATTTCATCGCAGAAATTCTAAATAATATTTTAGATTCAATAATATGCTTCAAAACTTGCAGAAATCACCTTCAAAACCATTGCTCATTACCCGGCTTGGTTTCAAATCCTCTAATTCCATTAGAGAGTGAAGTACAAGAACCCCTAAATCGATTCAGTAACAAAATCCGATAAATCCAACTTTTGTATGTATTGTTGAGCCTTTATTCAAAGTATGTGCTTTCACATACATTACAATCTGACGGTCAATTCAACCAGTCCGGCAGGGGTATTACGTATCTATTTTTTTACATTATATAGGCTTATTGTGGCATTATATATGTTTTAGAGATGGCGCTATTGGAGGTATAAGCTGTAATTTGTATACTATGGTTGGAAGGAAACGGCAGTGCATAGGTGCATAGTGAGGATTTGGGTGCCAATAATCTGGGTTAGTGACAATTTCATTGGCTTCTTGTCTCAAAAACACTTTATTTGAGTTGTCTGCAAGGTTAGTAATTAGATGCGCATCCACTTCTTTTTATTCATCCTGGAAACCTCAGATGCAAATTTACTGACTTTAAAAAATCAGAGAGATAAGAGAAGAAAATCCCGAACGGCTGAGAAAATATGCGACAGATAGGAACATATGTGAAACGTGAAAAAGTTATTACATTTTACCCTATTTTTCATTTTCAGTCATTTGAATTTTATAGAAATTTATTTTGCGATATCAAGTAGAAAATACAAATAGTGCCTAGATGTGGGACACTGCGAAAATGTTCTGTTTGTCATGCGTTAATCCTAATTTTTCTGTGGTGTGGTTTTATTACACACGCGATGGTGATTTCCCGTAATAATTGTCAGAATTCTTGAAAACCAACAAAGCACTTTGAAAAGAAGTTGGGTCTTTAGCGGAATGAATCATTTATACACTAGGAACTATCTAGTCAGTAAGTTGACATTTTGAATGTTTTTTTTACATTATGTAGGATTTTTACGTAATAACCCTGCCGCCATTATGTATAAAACCTAAAAAACGTAAAAAAACTGACGAATTGTCATCTTGCAGACTAGGTAGTTTTTAGGGTGTTCCACGTTCACTTGCTACGATTGCCCTTAGCTGACGTTTAAAAAACACGTACAACTACAAAACGAGTTCACAACAAGTGTGCAACAGCTTGTGCTAAGTTAACATCTTGTAAAAAAACCTACGAAATATCAAAAAGCCTACGAAATGTTACTTTTCAAGAACCCTATCAATGGTAAAAGATGTGAATGAACTGCTGGGCTAACATTTTGGAGTAGCCTGGAAAAAATTCCTAAAAGGAAAATCTCATGTATCACTTAGGTATTATCACAAGATTATGGGAGGTAGTGAAAGAAGATGATGACAATGGCGCAGAAAATGAGGTGAAACAGCTAGTGTGGGATAAGTGACGTCCAGGATTCTAATATGGTTCATTGTCTTCTTTTTTAAAAATATAATAAATTATTAAATGAGGTTATATTTTGCTATTAAGCTGATGATACCATAATATAATCATTGCAAGCACATGCAAATTTGGAAGAAAGACCCCCTCAAGCTGATGATCTCCAAAAACAACTACATCCAAAAAAGTTTCCTCATTTTTGATAAAACTATTGAAATTACATTTTCTCAAACATTATGTTACCACCTACGGATTTCTGCTTATAAGAACCCTGATTTGCTTATTTTGTGACCGGAAGCAAACTTTCTGATTTCATGGCAAATGTCCTAAAGTGGATTTAGCGGTTTTTGGAATTAGTCGACCCAAGTAAAAATCATCTGAAATTCTAATAGATGACGCTACGGTATCTCATTTTGTCTCGGATAATTTTTGGACCCAAGAATATAGCATTAGGTTGGCTATCTTCTAGTAGAATATGTTAATCGATGCTTAGATATAGGATGATATGCATGAAATGTGTTTGGAAGATTGCGTAAAATTAAAAATTAGATAATATAATGTGTTTCTATTGAAAATAAGCCAGTTGGTATTTACTTCCAGTATACCCACCTTTTTTGAAAATATTTAAGCCGAGCTGCTCCCATCATTTACATTATAAACCCAAATTTTCATAATTGTCTAATGACAACTTTTTGAAAAATCGGTCGCTGCAGTTCTACGTGACATAGTGTAGGTTTTCGCTCAATTCGCCAAGGCTAGAACAATTGGCGACAATCTTTCTGCACCTGTTTCATGCAAGGCTCTGTACATTCATCACTATTTATTTAGGTGTTCTGTGAATAACCGGTAGCAGGTCATAAATCCAAGTATTCTTCGTAGTTCTATACAGCTCAATCTTGAGAGCTGTGTTGCAGGCTGAAGTTCCTCCAGATTTTTTTTTATTGATTTTACCAGGTACTCTGACTCTTTATGAATCCACTTTGCTGACATTAATGCATGAACATACGCAGAGACCTCGAACAATGCCAACATCTGCGGAGCTGAATCTGTTTGCGATCATTTGCGTGATCCTCGTCGCTTGATCAACTCCACGTAGAGGAAAGGTTAACGGATAGGGCGCATACGAGGACAGAAAAATACAATTATTGGCCATACCCCGTTCATTTCAAAATACTACCGCCAGAAATGGACGAAAAAATCTACTTCACCAGGATTAACTAGCATCATAGTTCACTCTTAGTGGGCGCATTTCGCTGAAATTAAAATGTATAAATTTTGCTGGTGCAGTTACTGCATGTTCGCGGCATAGGCGTGTGTGTGGAAAGTCACGTGGCTGTCATTGGATTTTTAAGAGAAGTTATATTCTCAAAACGCGATGAATTATTAGGAACATGTCGTGGATGACTGCGTATTTATCATGGAACGTTATATTTACTGCTTATGTAGCCTGGACGATAGTAGTTATTGATTCATAAAGTTATGCAGAAATCCACTAACACTGAAGGAATTACCTGCCAACACTGATTCTACTGATCTTGTAACAATCGCCACCGACAGATCATTGCACATTGCACAACGGGGATAGAAGAAGGCTGGTAGCGACTTTCCCTCCGGCGAAAGACCTGGAGGTTGTCACTGTCGTTGATGAAATACAATGCTCCGTTGACCCTTAATGATGAGTCCCTCGACGCAAATCCGGTTTTGATGGATGACCAGATCGATAAGGGCATAATTTGGTACAAACTGCCAGTCTTCTCAGCAGCCCCGGTGAGAAGCTGGTTCCGTTCAGAGCTAAGCAGTACACGGCAAATTTGATAAGTAAGGAGATCTAATGTAACATGTCCGCAGCAAAATCGTAGTTCAGTCGATGTTAAAGGTTGTTTTGCCAACTAGAGACATGTGAAAATGTCGATGATGCAAGCAAATTTTGCTATCAATTACCTTTATCTCTGCCTCTTATAAATAGGTGTAATACCCTTTATCAAGAGCCCAAGTGTCTCAGTGGATCCGGAATGGTCTGAAAGCACTTGAAAGGTACGTGTGGTGTAGGCAAAACATCTCGTGGCTTCAGCCAGTCATGAAAGTCTAAACGCGACCTCAGCATATCCAAATGTATGGCTTGCATGCACTAAGTTGGTTTCATCGCTGAGTAGAGACGACAAATAGTGGATAGTGGATGGCAAACGTTAGTTTCTGTATCAGTTTTGTTCAAGCGAGAGCAACGTTTGCTTGCGTACCATTGCTCTTACGAGTTCCAAACCACTTTATATACTCTTACCACGCCAGAGGTCCAATGTGACTGTGGACAGGTTCTAGAGTTAGTTTAAATCCTTCATTCAAAGTTGGATCTAAGACAACACAGGATGTGGATTCCGTCAGGCCCCAGTAGACAAAGGACCCCACAACACGGTGCCAGAGGCCTTAGAGTAGAAAACTTGCTTTCATGTTTCGGACCCTACAGACGGATCCACCACTGACTCCAACTTAACCTGTCCTTTTCGCCCTATTAACTTCCTTAATAGCCCAAATAAGACCAATCCCAGAATACTGTTCACATCTGTAAGGTCCCGCTGCTTTATCTAGGTGAGCTCTCCATCCACGATACTCTGTTATTGGGAACAAGGAAGTAGAATCACTCAGATAAATTGGACGTGCATCTCTCCTCTTCATCGAGCTGTATTTCTGAACATAGAATGGTCAGTCCCTGACACATTCTCGGGACAAAAGGTGCAGAAATTTGCCTTCATCCATCAGTCTCATCTTTAAAGACTAGGTTAACTTTGTTGTGAAACGTTTTCGGATAACTTATTCGACAAATGTCAACGACTGTCATAATTTTGTATCTTTCTCCTAGAAGCCAATTCCTTTTATGAGGGAATAGAACAACTCAGGGAAAGTGGGGGCGTGATTCTCTGACCCTGTCCTTGTAGGAATCTGAATTCCTGAACGCTAACGTATTAATCGCTCCTTGAATCATTCTCGGGAGAAAAGTGCGAAATTCTCGCCCTCGTCCATTCGCCTCATCCATCGAATTGAGACTGAATAGAAGGAGCA